GAAGGTAGCTGCTGGTGTCCATGCAGGTGGCCGCAGTAGCCAGTTATCATCAGGTGGGCTGTAAGTTCGTTTGTCACTTTAATAAAAAAAGGTACGAAACTATTTGGCTTGAAAACAGTTTTTAACATTTCAGTTTTTTATTGAAGCGAGTGTGACAAACGACCACACAGTCCACGCGACGTTGGCCCACAGAAGTGGCTACTACGTCAATGGCCACTTACATCTTTCATCGATTAAGAATCAAATGCACGTGTGCTATTACCCTTGAGATATTAGATAGAATGACTTGCCTCGCGATCCGCCCGGCTTCACGCGGGTGATTTCTAAATCTCCGCAACAGCGCCACCTACCGGGTCCAATTGTGAATACAAATCATCCAAGGACCCACTCAAACTCACACAAAAATTTCATCAAATAGTTCTAGTCGGAGTAGTGAGAGTTGGAGCTATAAATCTAAAAGATCTAAAAGCAAATTTGATGAGTGTTTCAAAATAATTGCTTTGTGTAAATTGTGACGACATTAAAAGATTGAAATAAAAATGAAAAACAGAAAGACTTCAGGCTTAAGGCAGCATCTAATATCTTTCCAAAAAAAGGAATCACAAATATTTCTTTCTGAAATACCAAAATTAAGTGGGGGAAAAAGTGGACAGTTAAGAAAGAATATACTTATTTTACGGCTGCCCGCGACTTCGTCCGCGTACAATATCTGATTTCCTATGAGATTATGAAACTTTCCCGCTGCAAAAGGCCAACCTCAGTATATAGAAGCTATATACCGAGTACCGGAACAAACTTGTGTCTGAAGTCGAGTCTTTGCTGGACAAAGTCTCGGATTGGGGGCGACTAACTCTAGTCCAGTTTAATCCTCAGAAGACACAAGTTTGCGCGTTTACCGCTAAAAAGAACCCCTTTGTCGTATCTATCAGTTTCAAGACACTCCCCTTGTTGCCTCAGCCAGTATCGGAATCCACGGCGTCGACATATCGAGTGACGTTCAGTTTCGTGGTCACTTGGAAGAGAAGGCAAAATTGGCCTCTAAAAAGCTTAGCGTGCTCGGCAGAGCGGGACAGTATTTCATGCAGGCAACGCCTGCAACTTTACAAGGTGCAGGTTCGGCCTCACTTGGAATACTGTTCCCGTCTCTGGGCTGGGGCTCCCCAGTGCCAGCTCCTTCCACTCGACCGCATCCGGCGCAAAACGGCTCGAATCGTCGACGACCGAGTCCTTTCCGATCGGCTCGATTCATTGGCGCTGCGAAGAGATGTTACATCTTTTTGCATTTTCTTTCGCATTTATCGAGGGGAGTGCTCTGAGGAATTGTTCGGATTAATCCCAGCCGCCAAATTTCACGAACGCACATCGCGTCAGAACTCCCGATACCATCCGCACCATCTGGATGATTGACTGTCCACCACTATGCGATTTAGAAGATGTTTTCTTCCTCGGAAAATTTCCTTGTGGATTAGTTTACTACCACCTTACTTTTTCCGGATCGATACGACTTAGGGACCTTCAAGAAAAGAGCCAACTCCTTTTTAAAAGGCCGGCAACGTATCTGGAATTCCCTTGGTTCCCCTAGTGTTGCGGTTGTTAATGGGCGGCGGTAGTCACTTACCATCAGATGAGCCGCATGCTCGTTTGCTCCCTCTCCTATAAAAAATATATATAAGTAAAGTTTAACTATGCAAGTATTTATTATTTAAAACTAATAATCTTCATATCTATACTTTAAAAATATAGAACTAGCATATAACCTTCTTACTCCAATTTTACCCCCTTACGGTTAGGATTTCGTCAAACAGCTTATTCAGGATTTTATTATTGAAAACTTATAACGTTAATGCCGATTTTCGTGTCTCTAACTCCAAAAACGTAGAATCCCATGAAACCTTCCAACCCGATTTCACCTTATTTGGGGTGGATTTTTAATAAGTTATTATTACTTAAAACTAATAACCTGAATGTCAATTTTCATATCACTTCAAAAACATAGGACTTTCATACAATTTTCATTCCACACTTCATCCCCTTTTGGGTGATTTTTTGGAAAATTGCTTATACTGGTTATTATTATTTAGAAATTACAACTTAAATGCCGATTTTCATGTCTCTAACTTAAAAAAGTAGGACTTTCATACAAACTTTCAACTACCATTTCCTCCCTTAGAGGTGGATTTTCTCAAAACCGTTTCTCAGCTGACCTCTACGACATAAAGGGAAATTACCTTCCAAACTTCAAGTTTGTATGTTCCTGAGATATCGTGATTAGTAGTCTCAAATAGATCAGTGAGTGGTATTTCGCTTTTATATATATATAGATAGATTATAGTGTTAAATATGTATTTATAATTCATCCATATTTTCATTTGTTTTTATAATCGGCATGACACATGATTGGATGGTGAAAAAATGTCTTTCCTTCTTATTTTTCGATGATGAAGCTACAAAAGTATATTTCTAAATATGGTGTTTCCTAAAAGGTCCGGACTTAGAAGGAAGGTCAAAGAGCGATTTGAAGAGCTTCAATTGAATCTTAAGAAACGACTACAACAATTTTTATCTAAAATGTCATTTACCATTGATGGATGGACGTCAATTGCTGGTAGGAATAGTATAATAATAGGGGTCACTATTCATTATATAGACAACGAATGGAAGTATCGATCTGTAGTCCTTGATTTTATACCATCACGCGGTCGACATACTGGGGAAGATATTGCAACGATTTTCCACGAATGTTTATTGGAATATGACATAATTGATAAAATACAGGGTATCACGGTCGATAACGCAACTGCAAATACCAAATTTATGTATGAACTGGACAAACAGCTGCTATATTCAACATTTCCGGTGCTTTGCTCACATTTTGAGCCTTGGTGTACAAGATTTATTGAAGACCTTACACAGTGAATCTGACAATAACGGATAAGAATAGCAGTATGAAGACTATAAAGACGATACTGGGAAAGATGAAGAATATAACAAAAATATGCAGTATTTCCAGTAAAATAAAAAGAAGAGAGATATTGAAGAGGAAGTATCAGTCTACTAGTGAAGCAGCTGGCGTGCCATCAAATCTGAATCCCATACTCGACTGACTAACGAAATAGAATTCCACACATGAAATGATTGGATTTGATTTAAAGGTGAGACATGGCATTAACATATTGTGCACTTCTGTAACCGAATTGAATGATTTTCAAATCACAGATAGTGAATGGCAAATACTTGGAAAAATACATAAGTTTCTAATAAACTTTAAACTTTTATCAACGAAACTTTGTGGAGAAAACTATGTTACATTACCTCTAGTCATTGTATCATTCAATCTCTTGCTCGATAAAATTGAATCCATGGTAAAACAATTAGATGAGACACCTAATCGATCCGAAGGAAACCCAGAATGAAAGGCTCATTCTGGGTTTCCAAGCAGCTCAAGACAAATTGCTTAAACATTATAAGAACAGCAACTGGATTTATTGTACCTCTTTAATTTTAGACCCAAGGCATAAGGCTCAGACTTTTGACATGACATTATGGGGGAATAAAACTATTTTTTTACGGATTTTACGTGGTCACGATTGCTGGAAAGCAACCGAAACGTCGGGAATATAAAATAAGTTAATTAAACGCGATAAAATCCGTAAAAAAAATTGTTTTATTCAATGTGTAGTGTTCGCGTAAATATAAGAAATCATTATTATGAGGGAAGCAAATTAAAACAGAAAGCCTGCGCAACTTTATGCAGAAACTGTATGCACGTCCCTCGATATCATCTAGATCTGAATCTTGTCATCAAGGCTTAGTTATTGAAGAGTTGGAGGAGTATCTAAGTAAACCCAGAGCCGCCAGCTCGGAAGACATTTTAGAGTGGTGGAGGACGCATGAGACAGAATGTCTTTATCGAAGATGACCCGTGATTTTCTTGAAATCCTGCAACTTCAGTATCTGCTGAGAGATTATTTTCTAAAGCATCATTAGTAATTAGACAAATAGAAATAGGTTAAGTGATGAGTCATCCAGATGGTTACTTTGTATTAATTCTTGATCAAAAGAATTAAAAGTAACAGTAATGTCAACCTATTGTGTACTGTTATGTAATTTAATTTGTATTGTATTTTGTTTTTTATTTAAATAAATGGTAAATTCTATACATTGTAAAAAAAAAGTTAAATATATTAGACGTAATGGAAAACTACAAATGAGATTAATTTTTCGATGAAAAAAAGTTAGTAATTGAGGAATAATAAATGTTTTCTTGTTCTCCTGTAATTTTTTTGAAAAATTGAGATTCGTCCCTTTGCGGCGTAAACGACGAATTTTACTCCTCCTTCTCTCGAAGATCATGAGATTTATCTGTCATTTTCTATAGTTCGCTTTTTATTGCTCTGTAGATCCCCTTTTTTTTATTAAAGAGTCTGTTATCTGAGCCTTCCCTTCAATTTTGTTTATTGTTTCAAAGGTCAGATCAAGACAGCAGTTCACAGTTCAAGAGTCGGCATAATTAAAGACAGTTAGGCAGCTGATTAGAGTCCTCAGTGGTGACAGTGGAGAGGTGACAGGTTATAGGTATCTTTTTTTTTTGTAGAACAAGGGTGACAAACGACCACACAGTCCACCTGATGGTAAGAGGATGCTGTGGCCCATAGATAAGCAAAGATGTAGATACATCTATCGTCAATTGAGAATCAAAATGCAGACGCGTTGCCACCCCTAAGGATTATGATGGAATGTCTCGTTTCCATTAAAAAGGGTCTCTGGTTCCCAGAGTGAAAGTATAGAGATACTCACCATACGAAACACAGCAGTATTGAGCTGCTAGTTTACGCTGGTATTCTGTGAGACCATGGTCTTACCTCGGTAGAGCTGACCTATTCGTGCTACAGCCTTAGTATAGCTGCAGCGTGTTTCTATCACGTAAAAACTGTACAGTCATCCCTTGGCCTGACAGGTCGAGGTTCTAGAAAAGTGTTTGATGAGTGAATCTGTTGCAGCTGAACGTGCAGGGCGGTAATGGCGGCGAGTACAGCGCGGGCGCTGCGGCGCTCAGCTCGGGCTCGGCGTCCTCCGGCGCGCAGTCGCCGGCCTCGCCACCGCACGCGCACCTGCCGCTGGCGCCGCACGCACACGCGCACGCGCACGCACACGCACACGCGCACGCACACGCGCACACGCACGCTCCGCACGCGCACGCCGCGCACCAGTCGCCGCGGCTGCGCGCCAAGGAGGAGGATCTGTCCGCGCACGGCCGCGCCAGTGCTGACGGTGACTGTTTAAATTTTCATATACCCTTACCGTTACAGCCTATTAAGTCCTCTGCCGAACATACTGTGCCCTATGTGCAGCAGTGGACATTTTTGGTCCACGGCTTTGATCGAATAAAATGTTAAAAATAATTTGCTAAAATCTACGTAGTCAAATAATTATGTGTCTTATCTATTTTGAAAAGCACCTCCCGCCTTCCCTTAATTGCGTCAACTGTACCCGTCACCACTACCATAGAAAAGACACACCCACCGTCCATAATAATATTACCATTTTAACAACTTTAATATATGACGGATTTCCGCAAAGTAACGCCTGATTCTATTCATTATCTTAGAATATAATAATTTTTAATAGAACTAAAGATAACAAAATAATTTCATATTCTAAAGTCGTCCAACGACTTCGGAATATCATCCATCCAACCATTACAGCCTATAAAAGTCCACTGCTGAACATAGGCCTACCCTATTGATTGCCTCATAGGGGGGATATCTGACATAGTTGCCACATTTGGCAAGCGGGTTGGCAACCACAGCTTTTATATTTAGTCATTATTATGAATAGCAGCGTTTTCTCTCCCATCTCCTGATTCATTTCCCTCTGTCGCCTCTTACGACACCGACAGAATGATAAGACACCGTGTAGAGGCGAAGTAAGAATATCCACTTCCCCATAACGAATACTTCGATATTTCAACTTAAAAAAAATAGTTAATTTTTACTATACTGTCAACTTTCAAAATGGCGTCGATAAAGTAGCGCCCTTTTGACCTTTTATTATTTGATTGACTGATGATGAGCTATCATATCACAGACCTATATGCAAGGCTGTCGTTTTTGGGTTATAACAAAGTGACCATATTACCCTCGCGTACGCTAGTTGTGAAGGGAGATGGTGATGGTGGTGGTTGTTGCGCAGGCGGCGGGTCGTCGGAGTCTGAGGGGGAGTGCGGGGCGGCGCGGGGGCGCGCGCAGTACGTCAGCGCGAACTGCGTCGTGTTCACGCACTACGCGGGCGACGTGGCAGCCGTCGTCGACGAGCACTTCGCGCGCGCACTCGCCGTCGATAAGCCCAAAGGTACGCCAACCAAATACCGTTAAACCAAAAGTTAGGACTGAAATCTCCCCTTGAAACGGATCAGAGCTCTGCATTTCTGCTAGGGTGCTGGTGGTAGTACCTACCTAGACAAACAGACGATATAAAGCACTTCCTAGCCTCCACAGAGAAGCAATGTATTTTTCCATATTACAAGCTTACATGACAAATAGAGCATTTACCAAATACTATCAATGTATTCGTACTAGTACGAGCACATATTACAAGCTTATGACACATAGAGCAATTATTAAATACTATCAGTGTATGCGTATTACAAGCCAAGCTTACATGATACCTAGAGTATTTATAAAATAGTTTGGAAAATCCAAAAGTGCACACCTCATGAGCGTATCATTTAATTTTGATGAAAAATAAATAATTGTATTCCTGACTTTTAAATATATTATTTATGTGTTTTAAATTTAGCGCTCTATTATTTTAATTGGTAGTGTCACCAAAAGGAAATAAAATAATAATGTTTACCAAAATAAATCGCTTACACAAAGTATAAAATTGATACCTGTAGGCTGTATGGTAAATTTGTCCTTTGTCTATTAAGGGCTAAAAAATATATCAAAGCGCCATTAAATTTTTAACAGCAATAAAACTTATTAAAGTTAAAAATTATTTTAATAACACAAACCAGAATCAGAAACCAGTTGATGTAGTTCCGAAGCTAATAAAAAAACCCCGGTCTCGATACGTCAATTTTTTCGGGAGTTATCGTAACCATATACAAAATCAACATCCGGACGTCCACGTAAAATTTTTTCTAACCGAGTTTTTTAAACAATTATTCTTTAGAAAATAGAAGACGGATTAATTATGTAGTGTTTCCTTGATATACGGTTACTCATATTATCGTATAAGTGCAATATTGTTATGGTTATAATATATGAGGCATTTTGACAACACAAAATTGCTTGAACTTGACGTGTCGAGAGTAATGCACTAGCAAATATCGCTTCGCGTTATGAGGCGTGCAATACTCTCAGTGTGTTCGTACTAGTACAATACTAGATGGTAGAACTCCTTTTCTGGCTAGAACTAGCCTTGGGTAGGTACGACCCCATTTCTAACGCCAAGCGCTGCGTGCACTGTTGTGTTCTGATCTCAATGCTAAAGGGAGCCAGTATCATAATAGGCTTTGAGGCGTTCCATCTTAATCCTCAAGAGTATCATCTGTAGACTTGTTTGTTCGAAGTCGGTTGCAGGTGCCCATAGCCTGCAGTAGCCAGTTGTCCACGGGTAGACAGTAAGTTCATTTTTCATTTCAATTTCATAGAAAAAGTGCAACTATTTATGTTATTTAATACAATTATATTTATTGCATGTTAGGGTTTTTATGTTTTTACACAGAACCCTAATTCTTTTTCTAAAATAAAAGTAGCCTAAGTTACTCCTTATGAAATCAGCTATCTGCCAGTGAAAGTCCGGTCAAAATCAGTCTAGTCGTTTCGGAGATTAGCCGGAACAAACAGGCAGACAGAGAGACAAAAATTTTAAAAATTGTGTTTTTGTTATAAGTACCGTATATACTTTCATATGCAATTAGTAAAAAACTGTAATTTTGACATTACAAACAGACACTTCAATTTTATTTCTTTGTATAGATTATATTATACATTAATATTATACTATACCATTTTTATACCATTGAGGATAAATGTCTATGGGTCACAGCATCTATTTACTATCAGGTAGACCGTTTGTTTGTTTGTAACTCTTATTCTATATTTTTTTTAAAAACCTATTAAGTTTTTGAAAGTTCTAATCTACGACACCGATGTCTTTCTGCTGTTGAATTTTCTTTAGTTTATATTTTCGGGTAAGAAGACAATATGCCCGCTACTGTTCCGTATAAAGACGTACATTTGGGAAATATTTATACATCAAGCTTTTAATAGGCTTTAGGTCCGCCTTTTGCTACCCTATTTATTAAGGTGTTAACAAAAATGTTTAAATAAGTAAATAAATATGCATAATTGCATATATTTAAATAACATAAGTTAGAGAGAAGATGCGTTGCTTTGCGGCACCGCGTCGCCGACGCATTGGTTTAGGTTCGCGATCACGCATCACAACGGCGGCGGTAGATTTGGTGCTAAAACGTGTTTCTAAAACAGTATATAATGCGCTTGTGGTAGTACAGGTGGTGGCCAATTCGGTTGTCGTGTCACATTAACAGGGTTTTTATCAAGTTTTTATTAACTCGTTTTCGTGTACTTATGTCTGTTCGGGTCGAATTTAGTAATTGATTTTAAATTAACTTCCCGATGAGCTAGACACTTGTAATTTTGCACATAGAACGGAATCAGACGACAGTATAAGTATTTGAAAAACGTGGTATAAAAAAATGCATCATTTTTATGTGTAAGACGCCGCAACGGCAGAACATTGTGTTACTTTTTGACTTATGCTAAAGTGAAATCAAGTGATATTATGATTTACAACAATAAATTGAAAATCTATTTCCGCTGCCGATAACCAAGTATACACGCAGTGTACTCAATATAGAACGGCCCGTGCCGATCGAAAGTGCCATGATTTGAAAAACAGACCGCCTCAAAAGACCAGTTTGCTGGGATCAATTTGTACTCTCGCCGTGTCTTATGGTAACGCGACTGTTGCAATACGATTTTTGTTTGCTCCGATACACATTTCCAAATAAGATAACATTTAATGTTTAAAACAATTTATTATTTTTATAATAATTACAAAATTTATTTAAGAAACAGTTTGGAAGCGTTGAACTTATTCCCAGGGGTTGTTACTTATTATCAACCATGTATCTATTCATTTATATTATGATATCCCTGTTTGTGAAATATGTGTTTAATAAGAAAATTAAACTTGATCATATAGAGATACCTTGTAATATTTTCTGGGATTTTGTTGTGTGGCGGCGCTGTCGTCGCGCCACAAGCGAAACACATCGAAGCCTAAATCGTGCTAACAAAGTTCCGAAGTTGAAGCAGTATATATAGAATAGCTCAGAACTACCACTCGGAGCGTTGGCCGCTCCCCGGGCAGAAAACCTTGCTCGGCGGGAGATCTCCCTTTTCCTTCTACCTGCCACAGTTGTAAAAGCATGGTAGGTATATACATTGGCCCATGAATGAATTACTGACTGAATGAATGAATTATTTTTATCAAAACTACCTTTGTTTTTATGAATATAGACACATATATAATATTATTTATTTTAATCATAAATAAGTCCTACACATGTAGAACAGTCCAGGTTAGTTGCTGTTTCTTAATATGTTGACATATTAATATTGAGAATTATTTCATTGCATATTGTGATCAAAGATTGGTAGTAGGTATACAATTTACTATTTTACGACGCTAAAAGATTGTACACGATATGCCTACTTACTTTCTTAGAATCAATTTCAAATTGCAAATGTTTCACACATTTGTCACTAAGCAATTCATGCGTTGGTGTAAATCATTAGCCAACTATTCTAAGAATGTTTTTACTTAATAAAACTTTTTCTTAAATAAGAAAATGTGTAAGTAGCCAGTAGCGGTGGGGACGGCTGACAAGGGCTAGTGGCTAGGGCTGTCGGTAGCTCGGGAGATCAAACGGTTGCGGCTAATTAGTGATTCTGCTGAGAAAAACAACGCTGGAGAGCCGTGGGATACCGGTGCGCGCGCACAGATGAATGGTGCATTCAGTTATATCCTATAAATTGTAGTTGATGTATATATTGAGGAAATGCAAGATATATTGCTCTTTGATATGAAACTATCTAGTGGAAGGGCTTAATTTATGATTTAATTTTTTTTTAAATCTTTAGTTTCAAATTTTGATTGCCCCGATGGTCTAGTGGTCTTAAACGCGGTAGCTAATCACGAGATCCGTCGAGGTTTTAAATCCCGAGTCGGGTCGGAATCAAAAATGCTCAGTAGCAGTTCGGAGACAAGAAGTTGGCGGTGTATCATCCCTGTGCTTCGGAAATTACGTAAAGCCGTTGATCCTCCGCCTGATCTCTCTCCGGTCGTGTCGGTTTGCTGCCCCATCGGACTGTATTTTATTTTTTATATTTATTTATTTCAACACCTACAAATATCTTCACAGGTAATCCTAATACGATAGTGTAACTATTCTATATGCTATTATTATAACTATTTTATGTGCTATTATTATTATAAATTATCTTTTTAATTTAGGTACATAACAAATAATGTATATTGCTATCTTTGTGAACTCACTCAGTAGACAACAAAACAGGTCTATTTCTCTCGCTATCAAATGAAGTGTGCAGAGAGCAAGCGTGAGGGGCGCCTGACGCATTAGGTTTGTCCTTCCGTTCGGCACGGCAAACAGTTGTGACCGTCGCCGTCTCCCGATGTATCCGTCGGGTACATACATGTTTAATTGTTTTAGTATGTCAGAAAATTGTTAAAAATGTAAAGCAGAGGTCTGTCAAGAACCAAACGACAGTCTCTATAGATATAAGGGGGGATACCGCCTGTTTGAGTTTTTGGAGCGTTTGTCTCAATTCATGTAAGTGTAGCCTCTCTAGGTGGACTCGCGCCGCACCATTCTCACCTCCTATATATAATACGACTATGAGAGTGAAGGAATAAAGAGTGCAGCTTGTGCTTTAGCATACACTCGGGCACTATAATCCTGTCCTGCACACTGCTCAGATGCCTAGTCTCTATTTACTCTGGCCGCCCTGACCGAAATCCCGTCTGGAGGACTCATGATTAAAAAATAATGATATCTATAATAATATTTTCTACCTCAAAGTTTGTCACATTATTGTAACTTTTTTGTGTAATACAAGATTTTTATAAACGCAGGCCATGTTTTAAATAAACGTTAATAATTGCATCATGACCATTCCACGTACATCGCTTGCTATTTTTAATTGAACTCATCTTCTCTTTCTACATGTAACAGTCCTCTCCTGGTCCCGCTGCCAAAGTAGGGTTTGTCATAATCGCTTTGAATATGGTATTTA